CTTGGCAGTTGGTGCATGCGAGGATGCCGCGGCGCACTGGGCACGCGACAGCAATACGGGAACCAGCCCCGAGGTCGAAGACGAGGGTGCCGTTGTGAAGGGCACGGAGGCGCGCGAAGGCGGGAGAGTCTTCCCGAACGTCGACATAGAGAGTCGCGCTGTCGGGCGAGGGGGAGGGGTTCCAGCGGGCCGCCAGGACTAGGTCCCTGGTAAGGGCGCGCCAGGCTGGAGACGGGGAGCGTTGGGCAGCTGCGAGGAGGTAAGCGACCGGGTCGACAGGCTCAGAGGCCCCGCCGACTCGGTAACAGACAGAGGGGAGTTGGGAGATGGAGAGGGAAGAGTAATATACATACGACGTGCTGGTGACCGAGACAGAGAGGATGGTAGATACGCAGGCATCAAGCCTGTGAATATCGTCAGTGGACAGAGGAGAGGAAGGGAAGATGACGAGGTTGCGGCCCGTCATGGACCATGAGGCTGAGGCAATACGGAAGGTGGACTGGTTGAGTGCATCGGTGATGGCCACCGTGGACGGACGGCGGTGTTCAGGGATGGCGTCGGGGAGGCGGAAGTAGCGGGCCTTGGCGTGTCCGGAAGGAAGGGTGGAGATCTTTTCGTTGATGACCTCGTTGATGCGAATCGAGGGAGCCGTTGACCATCCAGTGGCCGGGCGTTTGGCGGCCATGGTCGACCACGGGGCAGGTGGGACAGTGGGTTGGACGGGGGCGGGGGTAGGGACTTGGGAAGCGGGAAAGCTCGGGGCGGGCGGCGTAGCAGTGGTTGGGGCGGCTGTGAGAGCTGGTACCGGGGCCGAGGCAGGAGCTAGGGCGGGCCGGGCCGAGGGAACGGGGGCGGGGGCGGGGCGGACGTCTGTTTGGCGGCTGAGCGCTTGGTGACGGTGTCGTGACGTCTGGTGAGGTGGTTCCCGCGACAGACGTCGCATCGGACGCCTTGCGGCAGGGAGGGCGCTTTCTTGGGAGGAGGGGTGGGATAATGGGGAGGGGCGGACGCATCGAAGGTCTGGGCGGTCGGGGAGGAGGGGGTGGGGGGGCGGTTATGAGGGGAATGGATAGAGCCGGGAAGGCCAGGGTGGGCAACGCCGGGCATAGGAGAGGGGGAGCGGGATGGGGGTGTGGTGTGGATAGTGGCTGGGGGGAGGTTGTTGATGAGGTCAAGGACGCCTTGACCTTCGCGCAGTGAGGGAGAGGGGGCCCGGGGGGCCGGGTTGGCGGGCGGATCCCAGGAGACAATGCGGATCGCTGTGTTAATGATGGAGGGATGAGTGTCGAAGATGCGCTCGAGGTGAAACGGGTAGATTTCGAGGGCGTCGGCCACCCGGGGGACGTGGGACCTGTCAAAATCCCTGGGAGGAAAGTCAGGGTGAGTGCGGAAGAACATGACGAGAGCGAAGAGAATGTCGGTGACAGTTTCTGTGTCGAGTGAATCGAGGTCGGGAGTGAGTTGGTGTGCCTCGGGGGGGACGTCGCTGGTGGGGAAGGGGGAAGCGTCGAGGAGACCGCGGACGAACGCGTAGGCCGCATTCGCGGCATCGCGGGACGCGGAGGAGAAGCCGTCGTCGAGGAAGGCTTGTAGGATGTCCGCCAGACGGGCTTTTTCCTCCGGGGGGCGTTGGGATTTGGGTTGAGCGTTGAGTTTGGCCATAGCGGCCAGGAAGCGAGCGCTGAGGATGGCGGGGTGCCGGAAAGACGGGACAGACGCCGGGAGCGGGGAGTCCGGAGCGGGCTGAGAGAGGGGAGTGAAATGGGCACTGAGGGACCGGAAGTACCGGTCCAGTTCGCCGAGTCCGGAGACAGGCGGGGCAGGCGAGGCAGAGGGGAGGGGGCCATGAGGCAGAAGCGCGGCCTCGGCCGCAAGGTTGAAGGCGAGTGCAGATGCCTCCGCATTGTGGAGGCGGGCCTGGGTGGAAAGGCCAGGGCCGTCGGGCTGCGTGTAGAGGCCGGCGGGCGTAGCGGAGATTTGAGTGTCGCTGGGGACGTTGAGGGTGGGGAGGGGCGAGATGGAGCGGGCCATAGATACATCGGAACTAGTAGAGCTGGAGGGAGACATACGGGGAGCCGGGTCGACGGCAGGGGTTTTCTTTGAGGCAGCTTGGCCAGTAGAGGAGACTGTGGATGCCATTGTTAGTAGAGGACGATGAGGA